TTTCGATGGCTGCCTTCAGCTGGTGGCAGTCATAGGTTTTGTGCCCTGGATTACGATGAAAGCGGCAATATGGTTCATCAGGGTTGACGGCATATACCTCAAGCGGTGCGCGAGAGTCGCGCTCCACGAGGCCTCTCTCTTCGGCGTAGTCCAGAATGACGCTAATGGGATGCGTCAGAGGCGTCCAAGGGTGTTCCAGAAGGATGGGCCGGGTCCAAGCCTTCCAGTTGTGCTTGTAACCTCCCCCGGGTTTGGGTTGGCCATGCTGGGGGCGATCACCCGAGGGGGCTGGTCCCTTTGATTGATGAAATGGAGCCCCCGGCCCTCAGTTGTTTCTGTCATCTGCCTTGGGGCGTGGTTGATCAGGGTTCTGATGGGACCTTTCTACTTCCTCGGCCTCTGCATACCGGTCTCCCCGCTGGAGGCCCTTATATAGTCGCGCAAGGGCTCGATAATAAGGCTCATAGAGAAGTTGCCAATTCGGAGGACAGTCTGCAGAAGAGCCAGGAGGGTCCTATCGTCGATGCTGTCGACCTTGTTTGTCTCTAGCCTCCAGCGCTCAAGGAAATCCCGAAGGGTCTCCTCCCTTTGTTGCCTTACTGTGAGTAGATGGGAGAAGTGCTTCTTGGACCGGTGCCTTCCCGCAAATTGTGTCAAGAAGCGTTGGGCTAGTTCTTGCCAAGAGTCAATGCTGCCCTTGGGCAACCGGTTGAACCATTCATATGCCGGTCCCTCCAAGGTGGAAAGGAACCAATGGCATAAATATTCATCCGATGCCCCCATCATCATCATGCTATTTTGATACCTACTGCAGTGCTCTTGGGGTCAGTTTTTCCTTCATAGGGCTTGATGGGTTGCCCTCGGTACTTCCCCGGAATCTGGGCTGCCAATACCCTTAGAGTAAATGGCGTCCGAGTTCGGAGTTGGATGACAGGTTCCCCGAAGCCTTTGGCAAATTTTCTTTGCATCTCCTCCATCTTTGCTAGCATGGCGGTGTATTTGGGATCTGCCTGTGAGGCGGAAGTTGTAGTGTGCGCTTGGAGGGCCTCGATTATTTCATCCCGGTGATCCTTTGGGAGGGCCTCCGCCCTCTGCGATTGAACACGGACCGAATGGGCCCGGTTGATTTGGTGTCTGGCATCATCGGCATGTAGTGGCGCCTTTCATTTGTCTTGAGGGGGACGCCTCTCGTTTGCCCTTGAAACAGATCCCCCCCTCTCTTGGGGTCTTTGGGACGCCTTTCCGCCGAGGCGGTCTTGGACCCCTCAGCGGTCTTGCGCCCTTCCGAGCCGTTCGAGGATGGAGGTCCTGGGCCTCTCCTTGTTTCCGCCATGGTGGTCCCAGGATTGGACTTCCTGGGAGGTGGTGTCTTGAGCCACGACCCCTTCGTCGTTCCCAACCCAAGGGGTAGGGTTCACGAAGGGGGGTGGATGCGGGAGAGGCATAGCGTTCTACCCGACCTGTGGTTGAAGGGGCACCAGAGTGCCGAAGGCACCTGGATTTTGGGTGAGTGTTTGGATGAAGGCGGAGAATGCCGATTGTACGTCAATGGTGAGAACCGGAGGGCTCACTTGATTCTCGCTCTGATCCCTCCTTCGGGTTTCGATGCCAAGACGGGCATCGGGAGCATTCTGCTGAAGCTGAAGGCGCAGGTCAACAGCAGCCTGTTCCAACTCAGTGATGACCCCGCCCTCGGGAGCCTTGTTGGAGGCTCCAGGGGCGTTGACTTCACCGAGGGCCAGGTTGTTGTCCTCAAGGTTCTTGGACTGAGCACGAGTGGTTCTTCCAATTTTTGTAGGTGTTTTGAGCTGAAGGGGAAGGTTCTTACTTGATTGTTCGACCTCTCAACGAGATCACCAAATGATGGATAGCGTACCCGGGGGTAGCTTATCCGAGGGGTTACTACGGGGAGTAACTAGAGAGAAGTCAGAGCAAATAAGTAAGAGAGAGAAAGTATTCGATTATGTGAACTCGTTGTGTTTTACAATGGGGAAATGGGTTGCTATTTATAGTAGCAATAAATGCTAGATAGGGACACGTGTCAACAATCTGGTGGTCGAGGGGTCACCTCAACTGGAGTGGCACTGGCACTCGCATGTGGCCGCATTAAATGTGGTGGTTGGATGCGAAGTTTGTACTTGGTACGTTGATCCAGCACATGTGGATGGGAGATTATGTCGAGGAGGATGCTTTCGGCTGTAGATGACAGTCCGAAGGCTCTGCGTACGAGGGCCTCATAGTGTTGTGGGCTCCAATTGCTGAAGGCTTGGTTTTCAAGCCTTGTTCTCCTGTGATGTTTCTGAGCTCGAGTCCGTAAATGGGTAGCCTTCGGCCATGGCGCCGAAGGCACCCCATTTGCGTATCATTGGCTGCTTAGAGCTTCATTCTGATGGGCTTGGTCCGTTTTGGGCCTGTTGGGCCTAAATGCAATAGTGGTAGTATGTGGGCCGGGGGTCCCTGGGCCATATACTCCTACACCGTAATTGATTGTTTGATTGGTAGCAAGGGTCATGGCTCGGCCCTAGCCTAAGGGTAGATGTCCGACCACATGGACTTGCTAATGGATAGATGGGAGACATGGGCCAGACGAGTCTAAGGATCATTTCGGACTGCATGGGCTCATAATAGAATAGATGTAAGGACCATGACCTTGCCTGACTCTTGAGAGCGGTTTGGATAGCATGGACTTACGGCGTGATCACGTATAAGGGTGGAATCCGAATCAGAGACCTAACGAGACTTTGACAGCGCTAACACATAAGATAGGACCCCAGATGAGCCTTACTTTCCTACGGGAACATGGTATGAGTCCAGGAGCGGGATGCTGGACTCCGACCGAGTGCCCTGCGGTGACTCAGATAGCAGTGACAGGTGATGTATGATTGATGTGACCTTTGGGTTGAATTGTATGAATTATTAATGTAATGAATTATCACACGGTGATACGAATTGTATTGTTTAATACAAATGGGGCAACAAATTATCATTTGACGGTACAAAGGGTTTGTAACAAATACAATGGACCTATGGGTCGACTATTTGAATCTATATACTTATGTATGATTTGAAAGGGGTAACTATAAGTCCTCTCCTAGAATATGTTATCACCCTATGTTAAGGGTCTTAAGGGTTGAAACATTAATTATATGGAGTGTAGTTGTCATTGTACTTTTCAAACGCTTCAAAGTACTGACCTTCCCTTCACGGGGGAGGCCACCTCACAGTATTCATGTAGAAGCTAGAGCTTGCTTCCCGTGCCCGTTGCTTCAGGGATTCTTGGAGAGAAGACGTGGTTCGTGCTTCCTCCGTTTCTGTTTTCAAAACTATTACAATAATGCTCATGGATAATATTTTATGATAAACTATTTGAGGGCTTGTATGCCTAACTTTGCCGAGTGTGGCTTGAACACTGTAATATTGTTTCCACTGCTTTAAATGAATATTTTACATTATGTTTGTTTATGGATGTACTATGTGTGAATGATATTCATGACGTCTAGTACAATATGGATATGTTTGACTAAGGTTGGCTATTCGTACTGTACGACGGATTGTTGACGTGTCCGGGTAGGTCTCGAGCGTGACAAGCGGCCTGTGGATGGCTAGGATCCCAACCACCAAATCTTCTGCGTTAAATGCGCTTCCCGCCACTTCGCCAAAACCTGGATTTCCCGCCAAGAGGTGGAGACGAGCGTCCCCATGAGCTTGCCTTCTGGGTCCTGCTTGGCCCCAAGTCCCAGGTTCCGAGCGTCTTGTATTACTCTTGGGCCAAGGTGCATGGCTACCTTGGGATACGTGCGTCCCCAGGCGGATGTCCATTGGGCCTTGACAGCCTATGCGATGTGGGCTGGTCCTGTAGGGGACGAACCTCACTCCAGTCTGGGAGAAAGCACCCCAATGGGCCAAGGACTCGTGGATGTTCATCGGGTGGGGGAAAGTCCTCCCATTCGGCAGACTTTGGGGACGTTCGTCTAGGAAGCCTTAAGGGTTGATGGATCACCCTTTGTTGGGCCATTAACCCAACACTATGACTTTGAATTATCAAATTATCGAATTGATGCTATCCCTCATCTATCATTAACTCTGTTGATTTCCCGAAAACAATAATGATGATATGATTAAAACATTATTGTCATTGTTAGATATGGAAATTACGCGACAAAACAGGGAGGAGCCGAAGGAGGTCTTGACCCAGGCTTCTCAAAATATATTGAAATTTTAAGCTTTGTTCCATCTAATATAAAATATTTATGCCTCAACCCAAGCCTCTAACATGACATCTTTGTCTCTATCACGGCTCATAAATCATTCGAACTCCATAAAAAGAGAAAGTTTCCGAAAAAGGACTAAAACAGTTTCAAAATTCCAAAATAGGATTGTCATGTTTTTCCCCAAAATAGGACTAATTACTGCCATGATTAGAAAATATTGACATGTTTGAAGTCTGGTACTGTCAAAACATGGCAGTAATTAGTCCTATTTTGGGAATAAAAACATGTCAGTCATATTTTGGAATTTTCAAATTGTTTTAGTCCGATTTTGGGTAATATCTCCATAAAAAATATAGCGAGCACGCCAATATATATGTAATAGGGTGTATGGATATTATTTTGCACAATATGCAAAATAATACTCCGTACTAGTACATGCGATCACGTGGACAGCCCAAGATGTGCGGGCCCTTTTCACAAAGACGTAGTACCTCCGTCTTTGACTTTTCTTGATCAAGGGTGGTAAAGTTTAGACAATGATTTTAGATATTATATTTGTTTGTAATTTATAAATTTTATACTATGTAAGATTTTTTAATAAAGAATATGTTCACATAATTTTCATATTTTAAATAATTTTGTATTACAAGATATCATTGGTCAAACTTATCCATCTTTGACCAAGAAAAGTCAAAATGTATCAATCTTTTTGGGACGGAGGGAGTACAATAACATTCTCCACAGTATTAACCCAAAACGAGTCTTCTATACAAACCACACCCCCAAGGCTCCAAAAACTAGCTCTCGAATAAGATATTGAATATTACAACAAATCAAAACCATGTGAAGCTAAAAGTCTTTCACGACATAATATATAGTTGCAGAACAAAATATTAACATATTTTTCAAAATGTTTTAAATATTTTCCAAAAAAAAAATGGAACTTTAACCTGAATCCCTTTAAGGGATGCACGCCAAGATTAAGCATTCCTCTTTAAGGGATTTACACCAGATAAAAATATTATTAGTAAATAATATGACAGTGTGAAAGTAATTTAGCTAAAATCACACATCACATTTTAAAACTATGATGGGGGAGCTTTATCCTTCGATTTAAAACTAAAAATCTTTGGTCTGAAGCCTTTCTCCAGCAACTTCTCAACCTCCTCGAATGGCAACCCTTTGGTTTCCGGTACAAGGAAGAAGATGGCTATAAGGCCAATGAGTGCAAATCCAGCAAACAATAGGAATGTGCCCCAAGGACCAATTGCCTCAGTCAAAGTTAAGAAGGTCTGACTCACAATGAGATTGGACAGCCAGTTAGACACTGCAGCAATGCCTCCACCTATGCCTCGGTATCTCAAAGGATAAATCTCTGAGTTCACAATCCAAGGTGCCGTTCCTATGCCCGGTGCATAAGATATGATGTATGCTCCTAGGAGTAGGACAGCAAAGAAACCGAACTTACTCGGGCAACCTTGAGTGTACCATTCACGCCTTTCCGATTTGCACAGGCCTTCGATAGCACTTGTAGTAGATAAGCATGCCCCAGGGTTAAACTGTTGAAAGAGGAAAAGTTGGAGGAATTTCAGGTAGCATGCCCGACCAAATAAGTTCATGAGCTATTAGAGAACTGTACACTTCGACTGATTTCTAGACCGGTTTTTATCAAACTTAGACAATAGTAAAGTACCTACCAGACCAGATTTAAATAGCCCAGTACACACTAAACCCAGAATTAAAGAGAGCATATCAGTTTATAATGGATCAGACTTAAAAATACTGTCCAAATGAACTGTTCCTAAATCAAACACAAAGTCTGTCTAAAATGTCAAGAATAAAGCGATGAGTATGTCTAATCAGGCTATTAACTGGCCGATTTTTATTCAAATGAGGTTTAATGAATTCAGATACATGTTTGTGAAAGAACATGGTCCATAAGAGAACCAGTTAGCATAAAAACCGACCGATAATCCACTTTAAGTAGATGTGAGAGTGTCAAATTGGAGAAACAAACAGAGAAGGATAGGGTTAATAATACTTTGGGTTGAACTAATTAACAGATTGGATTCGATCTTTTCATGTGGTTTGACAGAAGTGCCTTATAGCCTAATTGAGTTGTCCCAAGCCAATCCTGAATTCTTATCAAGATTCTATGACTATGAAAATGTGTTTTTTACAGCTACATGACTACATCGTGAAGCTAAATGTATGAAACTTGCATACCACATAAACTGAGGTTCAACTTGCATACCACATAAGAGGGATAATATTTAATGACTAAATGGTTGAGTAAGTAGACTTACTTTGCTGGCAGAGTTGCTGCAGAAGGAACAATCAGATGCACTGAGACATGACATACAGCTCCATGATGCTGGGTTTGGTTGTTTCAAGAAACTGGGACATGTAGAGTTTACTCCAAAATGATTGGATTCATTTACACTAATGGCTGGGGAATGGATGCTAGCTTGTTGGAACAGGACAGACAATACAACAAGGCATATTATGGTACCTATCATCGAGATGATCATCAACCTCCTCCTCCCATACCTGTCAACAAAACACATACTCATGATACTTCCGAAGGCATTGAGTCCAGATGTGATGAGGGAGAGTGCTATCGCAGTCCTGTTTGAGGCAAATCCAGCAAGTTGCACGATTGTCGGACTGTAATACATGACAGTGTTGATTCCAACGAATTGTTGGGCTACTTGAACAGTTATGCCTGCATAGAGACCCCTGCGAACCACAGTGTTTCCCCAAGCATTCTTTAACTTGGCAAAAACACTGTCTCCAATTGCTTTTGATTCCGCTTTCTCGTGCTCAACAGATTCATGCAAAGCCCTTATTTCTTGTTCAACTTCACTAGGTGGATAGATCTTCTCCAACACGGCCCTGGCTTCTTCTACCTTGTTCTGATTAATCACACACACACATATGTTCTATCAGTCATGATAAGAAATCATGAAAAATATGACTAAATAATTATAATCTACAAAATGTTAATTGTATAGTACAGAGAGTAGTAATAATCGTGGTATTTTTACAGTGGCTGTAGTGACTATGGTGATGTTCCTTTTTAGTCATACTTTCATTTTAAAAGATTCTAATCTAATTGGAGTAACAGTGGAAGACTTTATATGTGATTTTTATCTTCGTATTTAGGATCACTTAACGAATATTATAGGATAAACCTCTTGCATTCATAGTCCAACTACAAATTGCCACCCTCGGAGGATGGGCATGAATTACGGGAGAATGAACAAAAATCCAACCTTTAGGTTAGAAAGAATAAATGGTGTACCCCATGGACTAAATGAAGTGTGCACAAAAGCATGGGAGTAAGAGTAGTAGATACAACCATGATCAAGACTTGAGGTAAAGAAAACTGAAGTTACCTGACGATAGAGCCATCTTGGTGACTCCGGGAGAAAGATCATCAACATGAACTGAACAAAAGCAGGAACTCCTGCAATACCTAGCATCCAACGCCAGGTGCCTGGTACCTAGTGGGTGGATGATGCATAAAAAAGCACATTTTTATCACAGAAGGGGCTACGTATAAGTTTTTATTTTTAAATATGGAGAAAAGTTCAAGAGCAATGTCGTGATTTTACCTTGGTGAATGCTAAGTTGATAAGGTAAGACAGAAACTGTCCCCCTGTGAGTAGGAGACCATTGGCACTGACTAGAGCGCCTCTGATTTTAGCCGGAGAGGCCTCCGAAATATAAAGTGGTGCAGTCATGGAAGCCATTCCAACTCCCAAACCGACCAACACTCTTCCTATAATTATAAGCCAGGGAGTGGGGGAAAGAGCCATGACAATGGCACCTAAAAAGAACAGCACATCAGCTATTAAAATTGATCTTTTTCGGCCTATCTTATCACTAAGCAATCCACCCAATGCAGCACCCACAACGGCACCTGCCACTGTCATGCTCACAATCATTTCCTGCACAATATCGATGAAATCAGTTAAGCTAACCTGCAAATGTCTACAACAACAACACCCAAGCCTTATTCCCAATAGAAATATACGATAAAAACATAAAAAAACATAAGAACATAAGAAAGATAAAAGATAAAAAGATTAAAGAACATAAGAAAGATAAAAGATAAAAATAACATAAGAACATAGAAAGATAAAAGAAGATAAATAAAAAATAAAAATTATAAAGAAGATAAAAGATAAGAGAGAGAGAGAGAAGAGAATGCATCAATAACCACTTGCCTGTAGCCATGTGTGCTGCTCAACAGCTCTAAAGTCATCCCGAATGTATAGCAAGGCTCCAGAAATAACACCTTGTTTGCAAATAACAATGTTTTTAGCAGAAAAAAAAAAGAATTGAAAAAAAGTTAGCTTCCAGGTAGAGCGTGCAATGAGGGCATAACACTCAACCTCCTAACTGAGAATGCTTACAGTTTTGAAAATATAAAATCTATAAAATCTATAAGCTTTTTCATTCAAAAAAGAGAAGCCTGTTTTAGTGTTTGGTTTTGAATACATATGAGCATTATATGAGAACATTTGAACCTTACAATTGTGCGCTTTTTACGGTGTAATGTATAACTTTTATAATTAGCAAAAGACCTACTAAAGGTTTAATACAGCTTTTACTGTTCAGCATTAGTTTGTGAAATTTTTATTTGTTGCAACAATAGAGCACTCTGGTGTTCCTCTTTGACCAGGAATCACATCAAATAAGAAAGGACTCGAGATGAAAAGGCATTGTATTCTAACCAGTATCATAACCGAATAGAAAACCACCAATCCCAGCAGACATGGCAAGCCGCATGATGTAAGGCGTTCTCCATATCGACCTCCAACATTCTGTGAACTCTGTTTTATCTGCTTTATGTGGACCGCCCTCCATTCTTATCCTAGTTGAGATGCAAAATGTACCCAGATAATTGGAGATAGGCTATAAATTGGAAGAAACATGAAAGAGTTAAGTAACATGAACTTATTGGTACTGCGATTGAAATTGCTAACTTTGTTTTAGATGAGATGTGTGAAGTATGTATTTAGTTAACATTTTCAAGATATATTATCTGAAAGTAGAAAAACATGTTCATAATAACATAATTCATTTGAGCAGAAAGTTATGTATTCTATGAATATTATTACAAACACATTCAGTTAATATGGTTAAATAAACAAGAGTTTAATATAATGAAGGATATATTCAGTTACACATGTCAGTTCAAACCAGAATTAAATAGACCACGCCATACCACTTCAGATCACGTAAGTAAATTTCGGTTAAAATGAGCAGATCTGAAATCACGTTTGTATTTGTATGTCAGAAAAGGAAGTAGGCACTCTACAACTGAAAATTAGTTAGTAATACTCTTAGTCATATGTGGCTGGAAAAGAAATTTACAATTTTACTACTAACGATGTTTTTACTTGGATTGACTTATGGGAGAAAACTTAAACAGGCCAGGTGATGCTAGACTAGATAACCAAACATCTACTAGACCAGACCAGTTCGAAAGATTCCACTCCAATTAAAAACATCCTAATTAGTGGTCATAGGTTATCCTTGAATACTTGAATGCAGAATTAGTGGCCATCTGGTATCATTAATTAGTTAATTAATTAATTAATTAATTAATTAATTAATTAATTAATAAGAAAAGGATCAAATGTAGGAACTAGATAGAAGAAAAGGTATAAAAAAAGAAAGGGAAAAAAGTGAGAGAGAAATGAATACTCCGTATGAGAAAAAGGACATAAGTTTCCAAATATTGGAAATGAGATAAATCATACGATGTAAAAAACTTCCCAAAAAGGAAGGGTAGTAGTGAATTGGGTGAAATTTTTTACATTATTACAGAATACAGATATATATAATCACACATGTGAGCCAAACAGTTAAATTTGGTCAATTATTGTAAAAATTAAAATACGTAGTAACATATTTAATACTGTATATTTCGTGTATATTTTCTTAAAAAAATAAAAAAAAATAGTACTTGTGCAGTGCTATTTTCTCTACTAGTTTTTTGCTTAATTAAAATATTCATTATGACCGTGTTGTTATGAGCGATAAGATAGTCACCAAACAAATACTTAATAAAGTTGTATCCAGAACGCGACTCAAAAACCCCAGCTTTAAACCCCATAGGCCATAGCTATCGCAGATAATCAAAAGTGGTAATGCAATTTCTTTTTCAATGGCATAATTAAATTGATTGTTTGATTCACTAAACGCAATATAAACAGTACTAAGCGTCTAAGCAGACGCCACTAAAAATCAAATCTTTTATACTCAACAGAGCCCCAGACAGATTAAAGAATGTGAGTTTTTTGGGGAAATTGAATCAAACTAAAGATCAAGTTCCATTTCGCATCTACAAATTCAAGAACGGTGAACATCCAAAGCGTCAAAGCAAGAAACTTTTTGAAGATGGTGCAGAGAAAAATGGAAACCATTACCTTTAAAAACTAAAAAGATCAGTCCTGTTCTTCTTCTTCTTCTTGTTCTCCTACATGCATGTAAAAGGGGTCTTTCAATATGAGTTTTTATACGCCAGTCTCTATATTTCCTTTCTCCGATAAGTACTCGTGTTAGTTCTGCACCGGCGCACCGCTGCTCGTGTACTATGCTTTCTCAGAAACAGCTAGTAGCACTAATTTATTGGAGCAAAAAAACAAATACAGGCCGGGACGGTCATACCAGAATCTTTTTTTGGATAAAAGAAACGTTACTAATTGACGAGTTTAGAGTATTTTTGGTAACTCATTTTCCCCTTATCCACTTTTTTACTCCCTATAAATATTACTTCATCCGTCCCCCTAAGATTGTTCCATTTTACCTTTTTTAAAAACTTCGCTAAGATTGTCTCATACCATATCAAAGTTTATGTGGCTCTTAATCATTCTTACTTTATCAATTCAATATCAACCACACAAACTCACTTTTCTTAATAACCGTGACACCTTCTTCCGTCCCAATATTAGTGGGACGGAGGTAGTACCTCCATCCGCCTCATATTCAAAAGGAAGGGAGTGATGAGATTTTTAAGAAAAGTAGAACTATGTGGTTGATAATGAGTTGATAAACTGACAACAAAGTACGAATGAATTAGAGTTACACAAACGTTATCAAATATGGTATGAGACAATAATAGAGGGACATCCGAAAATTGAAAAATGAGACAATTAAGAAGGAACGGGGGAGTAGTTTCAAGCATCTCCGATGAAGAGTGTGTATGTGACATAAGAGATATAGATATACATAAATTTTCGAGTAATTTTTTTCTTCTTATTTGAACGATCATATATGACTTTAGTAAGTTTTTTTTTCTAGAATGCCAAACAAATTTATTCGATGTATGCATTGTGGTTGACATTATTGAGAAACTTATCAAAAACTTATAAGACCGTCAAAGGATAGAGAAATGTCATGTCTAAATTCTTTTGTAAAAATCTTTGCATGTCACATACACACCGTGCACATGAAAATGCTTTCGGTCAAAATTGAGTTAGCATGTTTTTAATCAAATCAAAATTTTATTCTTTTGATCTAGTCGGATCAATTTAAATTTAGTCTGATTTGAACTAATCTAGTCTAATTTGATAGAATATGTCTTAATGTGTATTTTAGAAGTGTTGAATATGGTCATATAAAGTCTAGTCTGATTTGATTTGATCGGGTCTGAGACTGAAACAAATCCAACTAAAAACAATCCTTATCAAATCAGAAAGTTATTTATGTGATTTGAGAAATATTTTACACAAATATGTTACTTTCAATAAAATGACAAAGTTATTGAAAACGATTAGATTATGATAGTTATCAAAATTTTATAAAGTGGGGGAAGAATTATACTTAAATTTCACACCTTTAATTTGTTATATATTAATGAAAAGTTGGGTTCGAACGAGAAAATGATCTTAGGAGAGAATTCAAAATGAATATGAATCGCTGATTGTATTATTGTACTACGTATATGTGAAATTCAATGTGCATTATGTGAAACCGAAATGTGTATTATTTGAAACTAAAATGTGCAGCGCAAAGGGTATGACATAGCGACATTATGTGACTCTACATTAGGTGAAATTGAAATGTGAAGAATAAAAGGTACGATATAGTGACATTTTTGTACCTTTTATTCTGCATTTCAATTATTTCACCGAATGCACATTTCACTTTCAGCAAATGCACAACTCAGTTTCACACAATATGATCACAACATGATCTAACGGTCCAAATTCATTCAAATTTCTCTCATGAAAATAAATAAAGTTGAAATTAATTTTATTGCTAAATTTGCTAAAGAACTAATTTAACTATTTGCATATACTACGTATAATTCTCTCTTTGTAATAAAATACATTTTTAATTTAATTTTTCATAATTCACCAGATTCAACTAATCAAGTGTTTTCATAGTTTTTCGTAGCTTCATAAATTTCAATAGGTCAGCAAATTCTTGCACTTATAATTTTCTAACAATTAATAAATAATAAATGCATGTCACATAAATATATACATAGTATGAATGAATTTTAATTATCAACATATTATCAAATCTATTATGATATAGAATTATGGATTTACGAACAACATTAATAGAATAAATTAAAAGAAAAAAGAAAAAAATACATTAAGAAATGAAAAAAAAAATTATCTCGGATTTCAGCTCTACCCAGATTTTAAATGGGTAGTATCCTAAACTCGATTCATATTACAAATGCAAACTTTTAATTTACAACTATATTTTTGTGACCCATACCTAACATTTAGGTCGTTCGATCAGTTTATAATTATCTCAAATTTTAGAGTTCGGATTCTTGTAAAGGTGTGGGTGCTAGTCTTTTTTCCTTGATCAAGATAATGAAAACATTCTTTAATCACTAAAGTTGTGTCTTTAGGAGGATTTTTATTAGGGGTGGGATCGGTCCAGTCCAAGTCGGGTTTTTGTTAAATCCGGAAATTACCCGTAAGACATTGGGGTTATGAAAATTAGAGACCGAAAAAAGCCCACTATATTCGGTCCGAGTCGGGTTTTTTGTAGCCTAGGTTCGGTCCGGGTTCGGGTTGGGTCGGTTAAAGCCCGAATGTGAAATCACTCATTTTTCTTTTATATTTTAAAATCTATTTTCAAATAAAATTAATAAAAAGTACAAACCGCAAATAAAATTAATAAAAATCACAAATATTAGTCTCCAAAATCACCAAGAATTCAAATCCAAAGAAGACAATTTTCATAATATTTTGTTTAAGATGCATAAAAATAAGTAATATAGGTGTTCTAAAAATGTTATGAAATAAAATTTATGGATAAAAATGTGACTAAAGTTACTATAAATATGTTTTCATGGTCATTACTGTAAATAAATTGAACATATTTGTAGTCATTAAAAGTTATTAAGTCATTTTTTCGTCCATCATGATTATAATCATATATTAGGGATTAATTTATAAATTATATTGGTATATTATATTGATTTTATATTAAGGCTAATTGTTTCGGGTTTTATCGGTCCGGGCCGGGTTATAGATTTTAGGGCCCGTTAAAGAGCCCAAAATTTCGGGTTCGGTCCGGGTTTTTTTTATTCGGGCCGGTCAAAAAGAAAAAACTCGGACCGATATCATAATTCGGGCCGGGCCAGGGCCGGTTTTCGGGTTTCGGTTCGGGTTTTCCCACCTCTAATTTTTATGCTTCATTAACTTCGTGAGTGACGAATCACAGCCAGGGGCGGAGCTGGGACACTCAGAGGCAGAGCAAGGGCACTGGGTCAGACTGAGCCGGTACAAAGAATATTATTGGGAAAAAAAATTACACGAAATTTTTTACACTAAAAATATTGGCATTTTTTAAATTTGGGGTAGGCCAGGGTCTATCTTGGGCACCCCCTAACTCCGCCCCTGAGGACACTGGACCGTACTGAGCCGGTACAAAGAATATTTTTGTAAAAGAATGTACAAAAAAAAAAAAATTACACTAAAAATATAGACATTTTTAATATTTGAGTTGGACGAGGGCCTCCCTACCCCTGATCATAGCGATTGAGTGACAAAAGATACAAAATCATGCAAATTTTTCGATGGCTAAATACATACAATCCCCCTAATCCTTGAGTCGTTCATGCATGATGCTGAACTTATTATTACTGATTTTATTGTTTGTATCCAATTAATTAATATTTTCTAATAATAATGTTTTGTTTAAATGAGATTCCTAAAGTGGGGGTGGCTAATGTGGAATGAAATTAAGAATAATAAAAACCCACCATGTTACAATGGATGTTGCGGTGCCATGTTCAATGAAAAAGTTAATGTTCGTCTTGGATAAGACTAAATGAGAGTTTGTTGTATATAGATATTAATTATTAATTCATATTCCCAACAATATATCTGTTTGACTGTTTCATCATTTTTGGAACTTGCTTTCCTCCAATAATGACGGATGGGAGCACTTCCTATATCATGGGAGCGGCCCACCCTGGACATCCTACTCCCGCGGCTAAACGACATAGTTTACATTTAAAAAAACGCGCACGCACGCTAATCAACGGCAACTTCCTCTCTCTCTCCCACCTTTTCCCTTCAGGCTTTTTTCTCGGTTGCACTACGACACAACTTACTTTTGTCTTTACGAATTCCAAAAAACCGTTCCCCAAGACTTCTTCTCTAAAATCGTTCTCGAAACTCTTCTAAAAAAAATTTCACGAAACCATCTCTGCGAACCAGAACTTGCGAAAGTTCTATATCTCTGCGAACAAAATGCAGAAGCTAAGTAAGGCATTAACACCATCCATAGCAAATTTCTGAAGTTAAGAGCCTGATTCGATATGGCTAGGGTTAACAAGAAATCAGTTACCTGCAGGTATCAACTATAACACCAGATTCACAGCGCCAGATAGATGATTAAACTATGCGATTGATTTTTTATCATCAAAATATGTTTATTTTGGTGTTAAATATGTTATTGTTCTGTAAATATCGAAATGCATGTAAGTTAGAATGTATGGATAATGTAATCTTAGTTTCATTTTTTGCATATGTGGAATCTGACAATATTATAAACGTTCTGTGAACATGTTTTCCTATATGTATTACAAATTACGATATATGTAAAATCTATGTTATCAGTTGTAACTTCATGTGCTTTGGTAAAATTTATGTTATCAGTTGTTATCAATATGTCATATGTATGTTATCAGTAGTAATATATATGGGAAAATATATTACTTATGAGTAATGTAAATTCAGTTAGTAGTTATGTAACTTGTGAATGATAGTGTGTAACTCTTGTGCATTAACATGACTGCAACCAAGTCCAGTGTACATTAATTAACTACTTGTGAGTAATGTAACTTCTATTAGTAGTTATGTAACTTTTATATGATAGTGTGTAACTCTTTTGCATTAGTATGACTGAAACCAAGTCTAGTGTACATTGATTAAATACTTGTGAGTAATGTAACTTCTGTTAGCAGTTATGTAACTTGTGTATGTTAGTGTGTAACTCTTGTGCATTAGAATAATTGCAACCAAGTCCAGTGTACATTGATTAACTACTTGTGAGTAAAGTAACTTTGGTTAGTAGTTATGTAACTTGTGTATAATAGTGTGTAACGCTAGTCATTAGTATAACCGCAACCAAGTACAATGTACATTGATTAACTACTTGTGAGTAATGTGACTTCAGTTAGTTATATATTTGTGTGATGTAAAGTTTTCTTAACAACTATGTAAACCGTGTTGAATAACA